GAAGATGTCTTCCTAACTTCCCACAATGTAAATAATGCAAAAACAAAGCATATCCTCAAAGAATTGAACCACTCGCTCATACTAACCATCCGTCTGTGGATGAAAGGTGATATTAAAGTACAATTACCAAGGCTTCGTGAAGTGATTTCTAAAGCCTTGAAGTGAAACACATATCTCTATCAGAAATAATTGTCTTAGGCAACCTATTGAGCCTCATAATATACTGAATATACAACTTATCTAAACTCTCAAGTGTTAAATCCATTTACACTAGAAGAAAATGAGCTGTCTTGGTTAACCGATCTACTATTACATAAACTGCATCATTTCTCTAACATGTCAAAGGCAAACTAGTCACGAAATCCATGATTACTCTATTCCATTTCCATTGTGATATATGAATGGGTTGAAGCAAATACGAAGGAACCTGGTGTTCCATCTTAACCTGCTAGCAAGCAAAACACTTAGACACAAATTCATATACTTCATTCTTCATGCCCAACCACCAATACAACTACTTGAGTTCTCGATACATCTTGTCACCCACTAGGTAGACTAAAAGTGGATTACAATGGTTCTTAAAAAGGTTTTTTGTTCAAAATTTCTTGATTGGCGGCACACATAATCGATCTCTAAAGTACAACTTGTCTTCATCCTTTAATTCAAAATCGAGTAACTCACTTTGGTGAACTCACACAACTCTAGACTTCAAGCTCCCATCGGTCCTTTGGAATTCTTTTACTTCCCAATCAACTTTGTTTCGACTCGTAACTTTGCTAACAATTCTCTATTTGAGGTTATACTCAATTGTACGAACATCACTTGTAGATCTAACATCGACTTACAACTCAAAGCGTCTGCTGCCACGTTAGCTTTACCTGAATGGTTGTCTATAAAACAGTCATAGTCCTTTAGAAGCTCAACCCAATGATGTTGTCTTAAGTTTAGTTACTTATGAGTAATAAAATACTTAAGGATTTTGTTGTCAATAAAGATGCAAAACTTCTATCCGAAGAGGTAGTGTCTCTAAATCTTTAAGGAAAAAACCATGATGGCAAGCTCTAAGTTGTGACTAAGATAGTTGCGCTCATGCGATTTGAGCTATCGGTATGCATAAGAAACTACCCTCCCTTCTTGCATAAGGATACACCCTAACTCATTTTTTAATGAAGCATCGTTAAACACGTTATTATCCTTGCCAGATTCTGGTTGAGTCAATACTTGTGCATGCGTCAAGATCTCTTTTAACTTCTTAAAGCTCGCTAATGCTTCTCATCCCACACAAAAGCTACATCCTTTTGATAAGCTCTATCATAGGGGTGACGATCATCGAGAATCCTTTGATAAATTAACGATAATATCTAGTTAACTTAGAAAGCTACGTACTTTGGATACATTTTGCAGTGGTTCTCACTCAACCACGGCCATCATTTTTTGTAGGTCTACTCGAATGTCGTCTGCAACTACCATATGACCCAAGAATGATACATCAGTTAATCAAAACTATTACTTATTAAACTTAGCAAACAACTATAATTTCTTGAGGGTTTGAAGTATGATACAGAGATTATGTTCATGATCCCCCTCTGACTATAAGTAGACCAAGTTTTTGTCTGTGAACGCTACCATGAACTGATCCAAGTAAAGGTAGAAGACTCATTTCATTATATCCATAAACATTATGGGTGCGTTAGCAAGCCCAAATGGCATCATCAGATATTCATAATGACCATATTGAGTCCTAAACATCGTCTTGGCTACAACGACCTCTTTAACCTTTAACTTATAATATCTTGATCTTAAGTATATCTTCAAGAATACCCTCTCTCCTCTAAGATGGACAAACAAATCGTCAATCCTTGGAGGTGTATATCAATTCTTAAACATCAGCTTGTTTAATTATCAATAGTTGATAGACAACCTCATCGACCCATCCTTTTTTCACAAATAACACCAGTGCTCTCCACAGTGAAATGGTTGGCCGAATAAAACCTCGGTCTAGCAACTCTTGAATCTGAGCCTTGAGTTCCTTTAACTCAGTTGGCATCATACAATAGAGAGTGATTTACACTAGAGACGATCCTACAACACCTTGATGTCAAATTCTAACTCGCGACTGACAGTAATCCTGGTAACTCCTCTGAAAACAACTGTAGTGTCCACCATGTGAGCTAGAGAACAAAGTATCAGTACTACTAACCAAAATCCCTTGATTTTGGTCTTTTAGACGAATTGTATATGTAATGTTCATCAAATACCCATACCTTAAACATAAAAAACTTTATTTTCTCATGAGAAAGTCATATCTCTCCTACCCAAAGCCCTCTGAAGGCCCTTAAATGTTATTTGATGCTTATGAGAGATTAAAGGGATCATAATAAGTCATTTTCAAGCATGAGAAACATAAAAACACCCTCATTTCCTTTATGGACACAAATACCCCAAAATGCACACATGCACTTATACAAGTAAGAAAATAACATACAATGATCTACAAGTGGTATAAGTGAGTTAGGAGTGTGTTACCTTGATCCTCGCTGATGGGAAACACCTCAAATTACTCAAACACAAGTTTTTTCTTATTCTTGTTCTTGAAACTCTCTCCAACCTCTCTCACTAATCCAAAACAATGAAACGAATTACTAACTTACTCAAGGGATTAAGGAGAGTAGAAACATGATTTCTAACTTTGAGGAACGAATTAAGAACATCCTAAGGTTCTAAAACCAAAATCTCTCTAAAATCTCCATCTTGACCGCCATGGCCCAACCTTGAGATGGGTTAGAATTGAAGCTCTAGGGGAGGAGATTAAGAATATTACCTTCACAAATTCGGACTAGGAGTGTTGAACAACAAATCTATCACCTTTGGCAACATACAAGAGGAAGAATAAGAGAGAAAAGAGAAGAGGAAGAAGACAAGGGAATTACTTCTCTTCCTAACGTGTGACCGCACCCATTTTAATGAGAGTCAACCTTATTTTCAAACAAGGATCTAATTTTCATTTTAGTCTTTCCTATTTTGATCTCAAAACAAAAATGTCATTTTTAACATCTTTTGGGCTCAACCCATGCCCAAATCCATGTCACACTTAATCCATTTGTTTCATAAGGACCTACCATAACACTCTAAGCCCAAACAATTTACTTGAAACTACTAACCCGATTTTCAGAGTATTACATAATTAAACTGCATTGGTTGACCTGAAGAGGTAATTGTTTATATGCGTGGCTTATTGATACTTATGTTTGTAATCACATATGACGATAAATTATTCAAATATTTGTGATTTCTTAACATAATTGCTTGGTGAGATCGGAAAAGCATTTCTAACATTATGTTGGTATGATTCTTTAACCTAATTGCTTAGTAAGATGGAATAATCATTTCTTATGTTATGGTTTGTAAAGCATGATTGCTTGGTAACATCAGACAATCGTTTCTCATGTCCTATGTTTCTATGGATACCATATAAATATTGTTTATGATGCTTAACATCATTGCTGGGTAGTAGAATATTGATATTAGCAGATGAAACTAAATCGATAAATTATTCAAATATTTGTGATTTCTTAACATAATTGCTTGGTGAGATCGGAAAAGCATTTCTAACATTATGTTGGTATGATTCTTTAACCTAATTGCTTAGTAAGATGGAATAATCATTTCTTATGTTGGTTTGTAAAGCATGATTGCTTGGTAACATCAGACAATCGTTTCTCATGTCCTATGTTTCTATGGATACCATATAAATATTGTTTATGATGCTTAACATCATTGCTGGTAGGTAAGAATATTGATATTAGCAGATGAAACTAAATAACTTAATGTTTATAAAATCATAGTCAGATTAGTTGTTGATTGAATACGTTCTTGAGTAGCGTAGAAAAGATGTTGGTTAGTATGATTCGTATAGTGCTATCATCCTAAGTAAAAGAACTCCTTAGTTGCCATGCAATTCTAATTCCACTACTTGAACTCTCAATTCATCACCTAAAGTGTTTCGCTAATTAAAATAAGGTAAAGTCAATATAAAAAAGGTTAAACAATTTTTTATTCAACTGTCTGCATTTCTATGATAATTTAAAATTATAATTATATTTTGAAACAAAAATGTAGCAGTTCATTTTGAGACAAAATTGGGTAAAGTATACAATTGAAGTTAGAACTGGTGAACACCAGGAGTGTTTATCGAGCGAATTGATAGTAAAAACTGATGAGCTTTAGAAGTTCTTATCAAGCGAATTGATCGAAGTGCTTATAAAGGAAATTGATCTTGAGTTAGACAATGATGGACTTATGCTTGTTAAAACTTTTATTACTCAACTCGACTCATTGCCTGTTAAACTCGTTAAAAATTTACTCAACTCATGCTCATTAAAAAACTTGTTACTCAACTCGCTGTTCATTAAACTAAATACTCGTTACTTGACTCGTTGCTCGTTAAGCTCGCTAGAAATTTTACCTTGTTATAAACTATAGATAAAATTTACTAATACTATATATAGCTTAATATAAACATAAATTAACAAAATTAACCAAAAAAATTATCAAAAGAGTGCATGAACCAATTTTGAAGTCAAAACTCCAAGATAAAAATCCACAAATGCACCAAACTAACATACTAAAACCAAAACAACAATCCAAAAATACGTCAAACTAACATATCAAAAACATTCTTGAAAAAAATTCAACAATATTCAATCCTAAGTAAATTAGCATCTATTCTCTCCATTCATTTTTGCTTGCAATCACCAAACTATTAAAAAATTATACAAGTTATATAAAAAATTAACGAGCTACTCACAAATTTATCAAGTTAAGTTGGACTTTGTTCGACTCAACTCGTTAAGGTCTCGAGTCGAGCACAAGTCGAGTCAAATAAACCCCATTCGAACATTTATAGAGTTTTGACCAAGTCAAATTTGAGCAACTCACGGTCTGCCCAACACACCCCTAGTGAGTACATAACTTCAAGGATGGAATCTCAAAACAGAATCTCTGAAATCGGCAGCAACGACTAAACTGTGAACTGCTAGTCATTTTATTTAAGTCTTTCAAGAAATCACTCCATAGTTTGAATCTATCCAAATCCATAGAATTAATGTACATGCCCCAGCAAACAAAATCGGGTAAGGCCAATTTATTCGTCATCATAGCCATCCCAATTATGGGTTTGAATTAGGCAGTAAATTATAACCAGCTCACACTTTAATTCGACCACACAGACGCCAGTGAGCTCCGGTATGAAAGAGAGATTTCTCGAATACCCAGATGGACCGGACAAGAACCTGCGTATCACAGGAGCAAGGTTTATGTGCAAAGTTCAAAGCAGAGGATGCCACATATAATCATGGTATCAGTTGTGATTCGATACACCAATGCGTACAGAGTAGTATACCATCTAAGTGCGACCCGACTTTACATGTTCCACAGTTGTTTTTTCAACATAATATAACATTTTCAAATAGGTTAATTCCGGAATCTCCAAGTATCCAAACCAATCTAAAATAGATTCTTAAGCAATTCGACAGGAAACAATCAAGCATTCAGATCATATCAAACACAATGAAAAATACCTCCTTATTTTTATCCCCAGCAACAACAGCACCTTTTGAATCATATGCTTCGAATTTCTGCCGAAACAAAGGAGACATAATCGATATCAATCCATGATTATACTTTTACCAATTAGATGATATTAATAAGTGGTCTTCAACAATTGTTGCGGAAGAATCAATAACAAAGGATAATATTTCATCCGATAAACAACAAAAGACATGGCTGCAATATTGCATTTGCATCATATCAAGGATGGATATATTCGAAGTATGGGTCGACCATATCATGAATTAAATACGTTACCGATATCTAATTTGCATGCATGTAGGCATACAAAGTAGGGGAAGTTGATGTATAATCAGTTATACCTCTTTAGTCAGGAACTCGAGAGTAAGTTGAATAAATGCTTTATTAAGGTCGTTCTTATCAACACCAATCTGTAACCACCAGAAGGCATGACATAAGTTAAAATAAAGAAAAGATGACACCAGTAATTAATTAAGATTAGGGTTTTAATCTGCATTTTTCCATCATTATGATAAAAAAAAGGAAATACCATACACTATATTACAATCATATATAAAGGGTTTGATTCCGCTAGGAGTCCAAATAAAATACGGGGATGAAGTTGGGCACAAACCATTCGGGCTCGCAAAGTTCGTATTTTAACAACAGGTTCAACCAACTCCCAGTAAAGGTTGCTCCATATAGATTCCTTAATTTCATTTTTGAGTGCCTATCATAAGTCAAACACGAAACATGCAAGTATGAATAGGAAAGCAAGGTGCTGCTAGTAGCTTAACCAACCCAAAAGAATAAAATTAAATAAAATTTTTTAAAGGAAAGAATGATTGCATGTAGTAGAGACGTACAGAGAACATATTCTCTGTAACAACTTTTCGTAATGATGTCTTGTCACCATTTGCTATTAGAGTGTTCATCTGTGGGAAATGAAAAGCAGTTCCATCAATGGAATTTTACAAGCAATAGCACAAGAACATATATATACATATTTTAGATAAAAAGAAGAAGCTAAGTTGCTCATGTTTTCCAGAACATCATGTCCAGGAGCAATGATAGTTAAAAACGAAGTTCGAACCCTATTGCACAAATTTAAAAGAGTGAACAAATAAAATTCAGGACATTTTCAATCTGCATACCTCTTTATATAGTTGTACGGCCTCCTTATAGAAATGATTTTTTGAGTATCCAGATTTCCTCAACTTAGCAATGGCATAGGCACTCTTTAGCTGCAAACAAGAAACTGGAATGTAACTAGACAATGATGCAGTGGATCTCAATAATTCTTTATCTTAAATTCTACATTACACTTTGCATATGCCAGCTTCTCATTATCACTATTCCGTCTTTACGATATTAACAGGGAAAGGAGAAGGGAGATCATTCAGATGAACAATATACTATTGCCTATAGCATGCAAGACGGTTATGTCATCATAAAGCAAGGTGTTCTAACATTATACATTTGTGTTAGAACAAATAAATAGCATAAAGCATGCAACACGGTTACCTCAGACTTGATATCCTCTTTTGTTCTTGTCCAACCAGTTCTCGTGAAATACCTGACACACAACAGATCAGAAAACAGCCAACGTAAAAGGCATATTGGTGATCTGTTTGCGGAAGCAAGTTTAAAAGGCTATGTACTACAAGCAACTCCGGTGAGAATGAACCGAGCAATTTTCTAAACTTCAACATTAACTGTACGTGTTGCAACTTGAAGTTGGACCAGTTCTCCCTCACTTGATAGAAACTTCAATTTTACTTTCACAGATGACATTAAACCTTCATACTGGCAAGGGATACATCAACCAAAACATTTTAGAATTTTAGTTGGATCTGATTCTTGAAATTTATAACCTTGTCCTCAAATAGCTATGTCCGGAAAAGACAACTTCCCAATTCATTTTTGAGAATTTTTATCGGCAACTCTCCAATATTGATCCCACTCGACAAAAGCAGCTTGAATATAATGCAACAGGTGCTTTTAGGAGAATTCTTTTTAAATGTAGTCTAATAACAACTTCCTGAAAGTCAGACAAACCTCTTCCAAAATGGGATCCATTCGCGAGGTGCATAAGGCTCATAGACAAATCCAGGGCTAGTCATAGAAATTTGAGCTCCCTGAAATTGCAAACGATGCAAGGATAGGTTTAAATTAATTTGTAAGCCTGATCATAGAATAATATAACACCATTATAAGTTCCCTTCATCTATGGTCCAACTAAGAACAAATCCAAATACACATTTATGTAATAAAAAATGCATGATAATGGAGAGCCATGAAGGAAACAATTATAATTCCAAATCTGAGCTGAAATGAATAAATATAGAATATGGCCAGTTTTGGTGTTTCATACCACTTTTCGTACTTGTGCGGTTGCTTGTGTTGATAAAGACTTTTTGTCATTCAAAAAGATCAACAATTCAGCAGTCTATAAAAAAAGTTGACACATTAAAAGTAATAGCAATCTAACAACAAGAATTCCGATAAAAACGAAAAATTAAATAACTTCTGAATTTCATACTTCAGAATGTTACCATGGTAGAATGAAGTGTCATAGTGTTTCTACAAGTCCAAGGAAAAGCCTTATTCTCTGTCTTATATAAGCAAGAATTTACACCTTGGCCGTAGGATTGAGGTACTGAGAACAATGAAATCATGTAAATTTATGATATAAAAAGAATCACTTTTTTGGGCGTATATAAGATTCACTAAGTTAATCCGATCACGTTGAAATTGACAAAACGAATAATTCTTACCATTTGAATTCCCACTGGAATTGCTTCTTAAGCTTCTGTTCCAGAAAAAAAATCAAAGCTTTAATATATAAAAAAAGAGATTAGAAAATGTATTTTCTTCTATTTCCTATCCTATTTCCTTCATTTTCCAAGTAACCAAACATTCATTTTGTAATTTCTCAAAAATGTAAGACAAACCCATATATCTAAAGATGGAGTTTTTTTATTTAAATAGAAAAAAAATCAAAGCTTTAACATGATCAAAGAAAAAAAAGAGACTAGAAAACGTATATTCTTCTATTTTCTATCCTATTTCCTTCATTTTCCGTGTAACCAAACATTGCATTTTGTAATTTCTAAACAAAGTAAACAACCCCATATGTCTAGAAATGGAGTTTCCTTTCTAAAATAGAAAAAAATCAAAACAATTTTTAAAAAAGCTAGAAACAAAAAATCTATAAATTTTTTAAGGACCCAAAGTGGTAAATTCGTATAAGTAAATGAGAACTTACAGGAATGAAGAAGATTGATGAGGTTCAAGGGTTTGATAAAGGGAACGAATAGTGTTGAATCTCCTCATAAGAGCCATCCTTTTTGGGTTCAAAATCGAACTTCAAAACTTGAAATGATCTTGATTTGATTTTTGATGATGAGAGAAAGCAGAGAGGTTTTGGTTTACGGTTCTTCAAGGGTTTAAAGAGAGGGTATATGGTATACTACATGATGTATTTAAGATATACGATGCTCACATTTATGGGTTTAATGGGCCATAATGGGGCCTATGATTGTAATTTAAATTTTGTTTTTTAAAATTTTCAATAGATATAAAAGAAACTTGTGTTGGAAAATTTATTTATGTTAATTATCTCATTCATACATTAAGTATATCAAATTCTCAGTTTCATACGTAATATTTAAAAATTCTCATTTTCATACATGATGTTTAATTTAAATTCTACATGATGTATTTAAGATATACGATGCTCACATTTATGGGTTTAATGGGCCATAATGGGGCCTATGATTGTAATTTATATTTTGTTTTTTAAAATTTTCAATAGATATAAAAGAAACTTGTGGTGGAAAATTTATTTCGGTTAATTATCTCATTCATACATTAAGTATACCAAATTCTCAGTTTCATACGTAATGCTTAAAAATTCTCATTTTCATACATGATGTTTTATACCGTTAACAGATTCACCTATTTCCGTCACGGAAGGTGACGTAGAACCCTAAACAAAATACCATGTGAAACTTCAAAAATGGGAGATGGGAATGTCACGTGGCACCCATTTAAAATGCCACGTCACCTTCCGTGACGGAAATGGGTTAACAGTAGAAAACATCATGTATGAAATCCAGAATTTTATGAAACAGTTAACGGTAGAAAACATCATGTATGAAATCGATAATTTTCAAATATTATGTATGAAACAGAGAATTGGGTATAGTTCATGTATGAATGAGGTACTTAACCCAATTTATTTTATGCACTTAATTTAAGCTTTTGGCTTGACGGTCGAGTTTGTTACAGATTCGTGGTTTGTGTTAGTTCCGACGTGATCAGTTTTTCTAGGATCCGAAGTGCGATTTCTATAATTCCACAGTGAATCGGTTTTTTATTAATGACCTTTTTGAGTGTCCTTACAGATTTGTTTAGGGTCGTTATGTTTGTTTCACCTGGAGTTAGGGCTTTGGTAGGTTTCTATCTATGCACAATGCAATGTTTGATAGGTTAGGTTTGTTTTTTATTATGTTATATTTATCGTGGTTGTAAATGTAATAAATGTTATTACAGTCATTATGGGTATTATAAAACTAATTTTTTATATTTGCACAACCTATTATAAAATATAATAATTACAATGATAATTATAAAAAAAAATAATTATCTTTAGTGTGTTTTCTAATACATATAAACATTTATTAATAAAAGAACATAATTTTTACAACCATTAATTATTCTTATATTTGTTTACAAATTTCTTAAGAATATTTATATTAAATCATAAAAGAGTAAATAAACAGAAAATATTAAACATTCATCATATTTAATAAGTCTGTAAGTTTCTATAATTTAAAATAATTAAAAGTCATGCATAAAAAAGGTCATCAATATTTGAAATCCTCATAAATCATACATTCAATACTTGAATCTTTGTTCAAAATTTGAAGCCCTCATAATATTTAATTTTTTTTTTTTTTTTGCAAAAGTGAGATGAAAGAGACGAATAAACAGTTGTTGCTGATGATGGTGAAAATTAAGACAAACCTCTCAAGAATGAAGAAAAAATGAATAACAATGAAAGAAAATAAAAAAAAAGAAATAAAATGAACAAAAGAAAAACAAATAAAAATAGTGAGAGAATGGAGGAGCGATAGATGATGTAAAGCGGAGAAAATGAAATAGAACCAAAACCTTAAAAAATATATATACATATGATGCAGTTTTTGTAACTATTTTCAAATATTATTATGTAATTATACCATACCGGAGTGTATCATATACTTTTTTACTCTAACTTGATTTCAACATGAACCTAAAATCCTCTCACATATAAACTAACCTAACTCAGACTTGATTATTCTTTTTTAAAAATTAACCCTTATAATATCATGTCAAAATCCATCGAACTGGAGTTAAATACACAACCTTAACTAGAAGTGTCTATGCTCTTAATTACATGCATTAATTGCTCTATCTTGCTTAATGGGTAAAATAATAAGTTTCATTCGAATATGTATGATGAACAACATTTATAGTTGGAAATATTGGAGTAAAATCCATATTTGTGAGCACATATGTTATAACACCTATATCCTGTATACATTTCCGTACACGATATACAGAGGTCACATTACTTTTAAAACATTTTGTTATTTGAAAACCCGTAACATTTTGTTTCAATTTTAACAATCACAAAGTTTTATATTCATAGAAGCAAAATACAAAATCTATCACTTTAAATACATTACAAAATATTTATTATATTTTAATTACATGCCAACTAAGTTTTCAAAATGAATAAGATTGTTCCAATGTTACTGACGAGTCAACCTTTAATTGATGAAAGTTGTTATTGCTGCACTCCTTACTCGGCAAAACCTTGATTTTTCCCTACGCGTGAAATCAACACACGTTAAGTATTTACTTAGTGAGACATAATACTGCAAAGATATCACAATTTACACATAAGTATCTTATGAATATTGAATGATGATTTAAATAGCATAATCCATAAGGACCAGGTAAGCCCTTATTAGTTAAACCATAATTCTTTTATAAAATCATCAAAATTATTCTTAGTAGGTCCAACATACCTATCCTTCAGTATATTTTCCCCATTATTCTTTATTTTCTCTGTGTACATTAAATGAGAAAGTATTATACATGTATTGCACCAAAGTGCCAATTGATCATGTATCTTTTATAATCATCATGGACGACACCTTAAATACTGGTAATACGCCATTTTGTATTTTCATTTGGGACATCCTTTCATGCCCATTATGTACTATTTACGTTTTCCTTTATTGCATCCAATCATATCAATTATGTATTATTGTACATTATATATATATATATACAACATTCTTTCATACCACTTATGCATTGTTTATATCAAAATGCAATATAATTCCTTTAGTCTTTTACCCAAAGGCATTTAGCCTTTCATCTAACTTGCATGATTGACACCTTTCTGCCAAATGCACAGCTACGCTATTAATCTTTTACTCAAAAGTATTTAACCTTTCATCTAACTAGCATAATTGAAACCTTTCTGTCAAATGCACAGCTAGGCCATTAATCTTTTACTCAAAGGTATTTAACCTTTCATCTAACTGACATAATTAACACCTTTCTGTCAAATGAACAACTAGGCCATTAATCTTTTACTCAAAGATATTTAACCTTTCATCTAACTGGCATAATTGACAACTTTCTGTCAAATGCACAGCTAGACCATTAATCTTTTACTCAAAGGTATTTAACTTTTCATCTAACTGGCATAATTGACACCTTTCTGTCAAATGCACAGTTAGGCCATTAGTCTTTTACTTTAGAATAGTTTCTACTCTAATAATTGTTTATAATGTCAATTAACTCTCTCAACTCATTATAAACTCTATAGTTTGAACATGTAGTGCCAATTACAATAATTTCACAAACTTATTATTTACGTAGGTGGCACACACATTACCAATAATTTCATAAACTTATAACATAAGTATAGCATAAAAATTCTAATATCGATTAGCTTTTTTTAATTTATTATAAACCTTATACATTTGCACCCTTAGTGCTAACATGGTAATTTACCAACTTCCTATTCATGTTCATTTATTAAGATGCACATGTAGTGCATATACGGTAGTTTACCAATTCATGATGAATTCTGTGGGTTGCACACATCGTGGCTGTACGATTATTCATCAATTAATGATGAATTTTGTTGATTTGCACACATAGTGCTTGTAGTACACATAGTACTGATATACCATTGCAACATATATTTTTAACAATATTTATTTATAACTCTTAATGTACATAATAAATGCACTCACTTGGATTGCATCGCTATTATATCTAAAATGCAAAGTTGATTTCTCAGTTACTTTGCCTTTGCCTTTTGTTTTACTTGACTCGGGAGCTTGGTTCCGATCTACTCAAGCATCCAATAAAGTCATGTACAATATCAATTGTTAGTATATTTTCTAATAGTGATATTTAAACATTACTCAAGAGTACATATTATTATATTTTCTATAATAATCTTAGCTTATCTTAACATTTCTGGCTCAATAATATCGATACCCGTACCATGGTATCGATACTATTATACTATGGTACCGATACCATTTCTGCATTCTGTTAACAATGGTATTGATACCATCCTCATAGTATCGATACCCCTCTTGGTATTGATACCACTTGAATCGGCATGGATACTAATCAGCGAATTCTACTTTTTTTAAGCCTATAGTATCGGTACTGTTCTACCATTACCGATACCATTACGCAGAGTTTACATTTTTCAGCCCGAAACTTACCCAAATTTGGTCAAATTTCCTTATGTTTACCCCCAACAATACTATTAAACTCTTCTCTACTTATCCCTATTAACTTTCCTTTATTTGGCTTCTTAAAACATCTAAAATCCCTCAAGCTCACTTGAATCTTAGAATCACACCATATTTTCTAACTTATTTTTAAACTTATCCAATTCTTCTAATCTCTTATTTACTTCATTGACAAGTCAAATCTACTAGTAAACATCAATAAACACTAATATCATAACATATCATTTCAAAACCCATTTCCTTAAATCTCCCATATTTCATCCATATTTTAGGTTTACTCATATTTAATCCTTCCTTAAGCCTCTATAATATTCAATGCTTGAAAAACCAACCAAAATTGGAAGAAGAAACTATCTAAATAAAATCTCACATTTGCTTTGGAGGAGAGCTTGTTCCACGGGGAAAAGAAGAAAATAGAAATAGCTTTTTGGCTAACTTCATTCCCCTTTCCCTTACTTTAATATCTTATTAAAGAAAATAAATTTAAAATTCATTTTACTTTAAAGGGCCAAAATGCCCTCTTTATTCATCTATAGATACAATTTAGTCTAACACTATTCTAAATCATTTCCTCATCTTTTACCATTTATTAAAATAAA